CTTTAATTTTTAACAAATTAATATGATAATATTATAACAGTTTAAAGTCATTAATCCAATAATATATTGTATTGAATAAATTGTACGTGCATTAAGGCATACAGTATATGAAATTTTCATTTAAACGATATCATATGAATCGCTGTTTTGTCAACGTGTTAAAGTGAAAGAAGTATACCATATAAAGGAACACAAATTCAGATTAAGTTATAATTACGTAGAGAACGATAATTTATCAAATCAATTTAATCAATTTGATCAATTTGATCATATCGACGATAGAAAAAGTTCGATTGATAAGCAGTATATTCTGTGTCACATATATTAGTTTATACATAAATAGCTTATTGTTGAGATCCTTTCGATTCATCCCCGATTTCCCAAGAATGCAAGTGCCCATCCTCGGTCGTTTAAACTATCGCGATTACCAGGCTTTGGTAATTGGTCTCGTTTTGTTATTTCTCGAACGTTTACTTCGAGTAGTCACGTATTGCCTGCCTTCTTTCATTCTCGAATTTTTCAAAGGCCAGAGTCAAAAGTAAGCCATTATTCGAATTCAAACACAATTGCCATAGATTAAAACCTTCAGAATTTTATTAGGATATTTAACATGCGGTACAAGGAGGCACGGACACGCCCTACGAAGATAATTCAATGTGCTAGGTCTTTCCAGGAGATGGCTAAATACTGGTAGATCAATCGATTGACGTTTTCATTCATTCATTGAGGCGACGTTTTCTGATTTTTTCAAATTTATGTTCAAAGGGGTTATGATGTGGAAGATCATATTGTCAAGACGCAAGATAAATATATGTTGGGAATTCATCGTATTCCCAAAGGAAGATATTCACCCAAGAATGATGAAGATCGTGAAAAAATCAAATCCATATTCAATAGATGTGGGATATCTGGTTCTGCCATTCGTGATGATATAAAAGGAATTAAGCCTGTGGTATTGTTGTATCATGGACTTATGATGAGCAGTGATGTGTGGATGTGTAATTTGGAAGAAGAAAGAAGGCTGGCTTGTTTACTGGCAGATGCTGGGTGTGAAGTTGTTTATATCAGTGCTTTGTCATTTCTTATATGAAATGTCTCTAACCAACATGGACTCTTCTTTCAACTATTTCAGCTATGATGTTTGGTTGGGAAACGCAAGAGGAAATAGATATTCAATGAAACACATAAAGTACAAACCGAACTCAAGAAGGTTCTGGGATTATTCTATGGATGAATTTGCTCTGTATGACTTACCGGATACAATTGATGTAGTTACATTACACTTATGTTGATTCCTTCCACCAATTTGAAACTTGACGATAACCTGATATTTTCGTGTCTAGCATATTCTTGGCATAACTGGGGCGCCATCGTTGACATACATTGGATTTTCTCAGGGAACAGCGCAAGCTTTTGCCGCACTTTCAATCAATCCCAAATTAAATGATAAAGTGAATCTCTTTGTTGCCTTGGCCCCAGCGACGAGTCCAAAAGGTAGGTGTCATCATTACTGAATGGAAATTGACGCGTATCCCTTTGCATTAATTACAATGGTGGTTGGAACCATAATTAAAAACCTAGGTCTACAAAATCCCATCGTTGATGCATTCATAAAAGCCTCCCCTAATATTATTTATCTTTTCTTTGGTCGCAAGGCTTTTATAACAATGACAATATTCTGGCAAAGGGTCTTGTCTCCTCCGATTTACACCAAAATTCTTGACAAATTCATGAATTTCCTTTTTGGTTGGAATGGAGAAAATATGACCGAAGATCAGAAGGCTGCATCTTATTGTCATCTTTACGACTTTACGAGTGTGAAAAGCTTAGTGGTATTGCTTTTTATATAAAGTTACTTTAATGCTTCGAAAAGTTGTTGAATCTTCTTTTTCCTCTTATAGCACTGGTTTCAGATAATTCGAGCAAACAATTTTCAAATGTATGATGAGCTACCGCCATATTCATCATCCACTGCCCTCGGTCGTTGGTGCCACAAATTTCCCACGGAACAAATAAAGAGCCCTGTTGCCATATTTTATGGTGGAAGTGATAGTCTGGTAAATATTGATGTGTTACATAAGCAGCTGCCGAGGCCCGCATTTGAAAAGAATATACCGCCGTACGAACACTTAGGTATGAATTCAATGGGTTCGCAAGATGAATGGTCATTGATTTCTGACATATTTATTATTTAGATTTTTTGTGGGCTTCCGATGTACACCAACAAGTTTTCCCAGAATTATTCGACCTTTTATGCAAATACAACGTACACCAAGAATAAGTTAAATAGAAAAATTTTTGAGAGCGTAGGAAATCTTTCCACGAGTTATTTCTAAAAATTGATTTATAATAAGAATTGGGTTTCGTGATAATAAAGATGAAAAATCGTCGCTTCTTTTGTTTGCGTTTTAAAATTCAGAGTTCTGATAGCATGTCTTTGACTGCATCATAGTATTCAGCATGTACATATTCTTTCATTTCTTGTTTGGTAACCCAAGCGAAATCGATGATCTCTTTTTTATCAACTTTGACCTGGCCCGCAAATATATGAGCTTTCATGAAAAATACCTAGATGAAAATACGATAAGTTTATTTATAGTATGCGTAAAAAATTAGTGACAGAAATCGAAAAAAAAAAAAACCTTGGCGCCTTTAAATTTCATTTGATCTTTTTTAAAGTCTGAGGGATATTCGTATTCGTAATATCCAAAAGGTCTTCTTCCAACAAACCAAATGTCCATGTTATCCCCACATTCTTCTTTTAACTCCCTAGTGGCTGTCTTGTTTCAATATGTATTAAACCTTGAGATTTAACAAAATAGTTACTCTCAAAATAATATATTATTAAAAATTTCTCATTACCTGAAGCAACGTTTCGGGCTTTTCCACTCCACCCTGAGGGAATTGCCACGAATGCTTGTCCCTAGGCTTCTTGACAATAAGATACAAGGTCCGTTGTAAAGCCCGATCAAGTGATTTATGGTCATTATTTACGTCCGCGGGAGTTATTCTACTAGCAATCGTAACATCTTCGTCACCTGTTTCTTCATCTGCATTTTCCTGTTTTAATTCGATTTGTCTAATTCCAAATGACGATAAAGTTTCGATCCTTTCTCTTTCCCTTTTTTCCTTCCACCTTTTTTCGGCAACACTGCCCTTTTTAAAATAAAAGTCTATCGGGAATGGGGCAGCATGTATTTGTTCTAAACGTTGTTGATACAAATAATACTCTCGTTCAAATGGATGGGGATCTCTGAGAATAACCGGTGATCTTGTTAAGACTATTCCGGCCACAATTCGGTATCCGTCGTGTACTTCAATCCTATCAAATTTAGGAAGCTTTATTTCATCTTTACTTAATTTCTGCGTTTCTAATTGGTCACCTATGAGAAAGTGACGATGAGTTTACGCGTCTCCTCAAAATAATTTTCGGGATAGCTTTATTTTCATTACCAAATACACCCGTTGATATTATTCTTATCCTTGTTCTCGATGAATTGAGTATTGGGTGCAAGTTTCTATTAATGGAAGTAACATTATTAATTGCACGCAAAGATGCTCGTAAAAACATCGTACGAAATATTTGATCAGATATGATACTGTCATCTATAAGCTCGTTTGGAATTCGTACTACTGCAGCTGCAGGTTGCACAATATTGTACATATTGTACAGTTGTCGAAACCAGGTTTTTTTTTTTTTTTTTTTTTTTTTGTACGTGACGTAAACAATTAAGTCGAGGTCCTGCACCTTACGCACATACGTAAGATACTTGTGGATTTCGTCATTTGAACGATATCAATATATCAATTTATACCAGTCGCGTGACTATTATTACGAACCATAGAGAGTAAACAAGACAAATATGGAAATAATCACGAAAATCTGATAAAGTCCTAACCTGTTATTTGAACATTACATCGATCAGATCTCTAAGGCGTTTTAGATGCACATGTATATAAGTTATTATTTATTGTATTCTCAGTTTCCATTTTTCTTCAAAAAAAAAAAAAAAAATTTTTTTTCTTTTTTTTTTTCTATTTTCTTCTCTTTTTTTTTTTTTTTCCTCTTGCACTTTTCCCTTGGAAAGGTGCACTATCATCACGGCGTTACAAAAGCAAGTCGTCATCGTATTCCGAGGCCACCAGGCAAAGATTATTATTATTTTTTTGATTTTTTTTTTTTTAAAAAATGGGTTTTAACGTTTGAAAAAAAAAATTAGCGGTCGCCGCCCTGGCAGGATGAAAAAATTCGGTGATAAGGAGGTTTTTCGTTCAAGGTTCTTCTCTTGTCCAAAGAATCACTCTTACTTTCAAGCAAATGTACCAAGGATAGAGACGCTGCCAGTTGAAGAGATTTTAAAAAATCGTGTCTTGGATAGTTGTGAATCGGACAACGAAAATTCCTTCTTTGTAGCTGATCTGGGTCAGATCTATAGTCAACACTTACGTTGGAAGGCTCATTTACCCCGAGTCGAGCCGTTCTATGGTATTTATTTTAACATTGCATTATACTTGTGCTGGAAAAAAAAAAATAAATTCTAATTACCTTTACTTCTTAGCGGTAAAATGCAATCCGGATCCAATGCTCCTTAGATTGCTGTCAGCCCTAGGAACAGGATTTGATTGTGCCAGTAAAGCTGAAATTCAAACTATTCTTGACTTAGGAGTTGATCCTTCTAGAATTATATACGCGAATCCTTGTAAGCAAGCATCTTTCGTGCGTTTTGCCGCAGAGCGAAACGTCCAAATGATGACGTTTGATAATGTCGACGAACTTTACAAGATTCAGCGCTATTTCCCTGATGCTCAACTAGTGCTTCGTATCCTTGCCGATGATTCCAAATCTCTTTGTAAATTGGGTCTCAAGTTTGGTGCTCCATTAGAGTCTACAGGATTACTATTGCAGACTGCTAAGGAATTGAAATTAAATGTAATTGGCGTCAGGTATGAATAATTATTTTCATTATGGTCGTAATTGTTTCACCTATTCAACTTTGTTTATTTTCATTATATAGCTTTCACGTTGGTAGTGGCTGCTATGACGAAACTGCATTTGTGGACGCCGTTTATCGCGCAAAGTCCGTTTTCGATCAAGCTTCGAAAATTTTTGGATTTGATTTTCATTTGCTCGACGTTGGAGGAGGATTTTCACATGCTCTCAATGGTGATGGTATCACGTTTGAAAGGATTGCGGCTTTACTTGGTCCAGTAATTGACAAATTGTTTCCGCCCGACGTTCGAGTGATCGCCGAGCCTGGACGTTATTATGCTGCACCAGCCTTCACCATAGCTACTCATATAATCGCTAGAAGAACTGTGCACAGAGTTGGTGAAGATGAACAAACTTCGGACATGGATGCTGTTCTTAATGATGTATCTTCAACTGAAGACGATCAGCCTTCATATATGTGTATGTATTTCATAAAATTGATCCTCATGATATAATAGCTTTAATTGATCATATTTGATTTTCCTTGTAGATTACATCAACGATGGAATGTACGGTTCTTTCAATTGCATTCTATTCGATCATCAAATTGTTCATCCCAAAGTTTTGTATAAAGGAGGCGTGTTCTCTTTTGATGAATCTTTAGAAGGATCCAATTACAATTGCAGTATATGGGGCCCGACGTGTGATTCAATTGACTGCATTACTAAGAATGGATGTCTTCCCGAATTGTTTCCCGGTGACTGGCTGTATTTCGAGGAGATGGGTGCATATACTATTTGCGCTGCCTCTCAGTTTAACGGATTCAAGAAGAGTGAAGTCCTTTACACTACCACTGATCATCACGTGCTATCCATTCTTCACGAAAGTTTTTACCCAAATCATGGCTAAAAAAAAGTTGATGATTGGTTTCGCATTTCTTATGCTTGAACTTACGTTCTCGTAAAAACCTAAAGACAGAATACTATTACATTTTAAATGCGTTGTTTGAGGTTATTTTTTATAGATTATTCTCAGTCATTGCGAACTAGTCGTTTTAAGTTATGAATTTTTTGTAATGCGTAATTTCAGATTACATTTAAGTTAGAATTTTGTACAAATTAAAAGTATTCATAATTCAATATAGAATTAATGACATAAAAACTTGAGATAAAAGGAAAAAAAAGTAAATAATAGCCAACTAGTTATATTATTATCCTTATGATTTTTTTGCATATTTAATTAGCAATTCTATTAAAAATAGTTTTTATTAATTAATGATTGTATAGTATTTAATCAATTATTATTATTATTTTATTATTTATTTATTTATTTATTTTGTATTTCAAATCAGGCTGCATGTCATTTAGTTTATTAATTTTATTTATCAGAAAACATTTATACATTTGTATTAAAAACACTATAATAAAGCTAAACTATTGTATTACTATACACTAGTTGAAATCTGATTATTCAGCAGTATGCCACTTGTTAATTATTTGTTAATTATTTGACATACAATAAATAATTCATCAAACATTTGTCAACAATTTGACAATTATTGCCAAATTGAATATGCTGAATTATTGTCAAATGTTTGACAAATATTTGATGAATTATTTATCATATGTCAAATGATTGATAAGTGACATACTGCCAAATAATTAGATTTCAATTAATAATACATATAGGGTCGAAAATTAAAATTAAATAGAATTGCAAAGAATCACATAAGATTTAGAACATTACTAATAATGATGATAAGGTACATCAGGAAATTTTTTAGCAAAGATCTTTAAAGATCTTTGGGCATAGACCTCTGGAGAACCTCCATTGTTGTTAAAAGACTTCGAAGTGAAGATTACTATATTAAACTCCGAAGATCTTCAATTTATTTTAATAATAATAAAATATATTTATATTCACATATTATAATCTATTAATATTCAATTTTCAA